ACCCCAGTGACTTAAGACTGCTTTTGTGGTCCAGGGTCACAAATGATGACAGATACTATAACTGAATGATTACAATTTTGCCCATGGTATGAATTAACATGGTTTAACTACTAAATTAAAGCATTCAAATTGGAAAAATATATGATAGGCAACATCTTGAAAGATGAGAACACTTACAAGAACACATTTACCACATATACTTAGTCTATAAGCAAACTAAAGAGTTTTACCTTAAGACGGTCAGTTGATGGAGGTGCGGATGCGCCTGTGCCCCAGTCACATGAGCCCCGTCCCGCAGGGCCGAACTGTATCCAGCTGCTATCCATAAGCACATGTTTACTCTGTAAGCTCCAGTGCTGATCATAAACTACAGCTTACATCTAGCTTTAATGGCTTATCCTGTGCAAGAAGAAACAGTTTGACTTGTGTTGAATTGTGTCAGGGATCAAGAGTTTGTGCCAGAGCATCCAATCAATGGGAACTGACCGCTGAAGCCCAGAGTCTTAACACAAATGGCCTATATTGCACAGCTGTGAGGTTATCTGAGTCCATTCCGACTGCTTTGGAAATAGGCCTAACTTGTGCTAGCTACTGAGCTATTTTTTCCCCCAACGAATAAACCAATAAGATCACTGAACTTCGTAACTTGAGCCGTATAAGGTCATATAAACTCTTATGCCCATTTGCTATAAAGATATATAGAGCGGCAAGTTTATGATCTTAATTTGTCACAATTATAGACAAATACAATCTGACTGATAACACACAAACAGCTGTCCCTTTATAATTTTATTGAAGACACTAATTGATCATTGACAGGGCAGGCTGGAAAAAGTAAGTGAACATCTGTGCTACGACTTCATTAAAAGCTAATTGGAGCCAATTAAGGAGATGAGATTGGAAGTGTGGGTCGCACAGAAGACCTGGGCCCGGTTGCATGAAAGTCCTTAAGTAATTTGACTTAGGGGTGTTCCTGAGGGGGAAAAAATCCCTAAGGTAAGGGATTTCTTTAAGAGCGTTGCAACAAACATCTTAACTGTCACCCTTACCTAAGTGTTTATACTAAGCATTTCACGGAAGTTCCTTGCAACATACGGCAATGGGCGCCGCAGTTGCTAAAGTTACTACATCTCACAATAAACATAGCTAAACGCCTCCTGCTGACCAATGAAGGAAAATTTACCAAATGTGAAAATTAACCCATGTTTTGACGCTGCAAACACGCAGAGTTGTAAATGTGAACAGGTGGATCGACAAGAAGATAATGCATTATAAAAATCTAAACAATTAAGACATAAATTACATTTGTATTATTATTTAATGAATGCAATGATTAATAATAATTGTTTAAATTAATATAATAATTGATTCAACTTTCTTAATTGATTCATCCATTTTCTTAAAAAATTATACAAAACTTTTTGTTTTGTAAAAACCTGTAAGTCATGCTTTTTACAGTCAATTTACAGTTTATTATGTTACCATAGTCATTGCCCTACTGTGTTCATATTATATTTTAATTGTGCAGGTCTTAAAAAATGTCTTAAGTCTTACATTTGAGCTTAAAAATCCTGCAGATACTGAGTTTAAGATGACTTAAGGGAGCTGTTTTAGTCCCTTAAATTTATCAAGGTGAAATAGTTACTAAGGACTTTGTAGCAACTCTTAAGGGAACACTTCGATAATTAAGGGGAATACTTAATGACAGCCTTAAGGTTCCTTAAGTTGACCCTTAGGATTGTTCTTGCAACCCAAGTTTCACTAAGGGTTCCCTTAACCTTATAACTAAGGGATTTCTTAGCTTAAGGACTTTCATGCAACTTTATTCCCTGTCCTTTAAATAAAGGCACACAAAGACTGGTTATTGAGAAATCCATTTTTTTCTCAGGAAATATTGGTTAGTGTGAGCCATGTCTCAGTCCCATTATAACTTAAAAATGCAATACAGCTGGTAAACATGACAAAAATTGCATAAAGACATGGTGTTCCTCAATCCAAAGTAAGAGATCCTGTCTACAAATGTGGAAAATTCTGGATTGTTGCTACTCTTTCCGTCAGCAGATGTTCTGCTTAGATCACTCCAAGAAAGCAATGGGCAATTCTGAAATCTCAAGTGCAAATAACCTCCAGAAAGCTCTACAAACTGAAATTCTTTGTTCATGTAATAACAAACAGTGTGTGCTTTACTGAGTCCTGACCTTAAGCCAGTGGAGATGCTGAGGCATAACCTAAAGAGGGCTGTGCTATCAAGAAATCGACCCAGAAATGTTGATAAACATAGGGTTGCGAGGGTTGTCCAAAATTGGTCAGAAGTCTTAGAAGCAGCTACAAATGTTTGGTGAAGGTTTTCTGCTGAAGGAAGATCTACAAGTTAGAAAATTTATTCTTGACACAATATGCTTGAAAAAATGTTGTGCAAAATTCAATTAATATACACAAACACACAGCGGCCTCAAATGCTATTTAGTTTTTGCATTATTTAACATGATATGAATTTTATTGTAGAACAATAAACATTGTTCAAGATTAAGATAAAAATATTGTTTTGATGAAGACAAAAAATTTATTTGATATTTTATTATCTAATTCAATTACATTGATGCATTTCTTAAAGTGTCTATTTTTGGGGGCCATCTAAGTTTTATGTATACAGGTGCATCTCAATAAATTAGAATGTCGTGGAAAAGTTCATTTATTTCAGTAATTCAACTCTCCCTCAAGAACAATTCACACAAATATCATTCTTGCCATAATACTTACAAGAATATTTGCGTGGTACATCATGGGATAATTAATGCTGATGTACTGTAAAAAGGAGTGCCATTATGAATTGAACATATGTTAGCAGAGCTAAAATTAAAAAATTTTCACTATTACATGGAAATCTGTTTTAGCTTGCATTTGTAGCTTTAGCTTAAGTCCGCACAACATAATCCATCGAGTTTTCCTGTGGATTTAGACCAAGTGCTGCAGGTTTTGATTCACAAGTAAAAAAAAAAAACATCTAAAAAATATCCCTTAGAGTTTATAAAGTCTTTTTGCCTAGACAAAATATTGCCTGAACATTTTCACAATCTGCTGTCAAACAGAACTTTTTTTTCTGTCCACTACTTACAAAACCGGCACTCAACACAAAGCAGACAAATGTAGACTACACCTCAGTTTGTAGCTACCTGGAGAAAGAACAAAATTTAATCCTTTCCTACTCTGGACAAATCAGGCTTTAAAAAAAAAACATGTTTGATTTGCTAAAAATAAAGTACATAATAGTTTTTCAGAACACTCTGATATTGAATATAAATTTGTCTTTGGTCCCTTTAAACATCCTTTTTAATCTCCCCGTTTATGCAAATCAGTTGCCATAAACACAACAGAGTATGAAAAAATGAAGCTAAGCTATACATTCTTACTATGATTATGTAACATAGCATTTGATTGATAGAAGTTTGATAATAAACAGCAACGTAAGTACTGGCACAGACTGAGCACACACAATTCACACAAATATCATTCTTGCCATAATACTTACAAGAATATTTGCGTGGTACATCATGGGATAATTAATGCTGATGTACTGTAAAAAGGAGTGCCATTATGAATTGAACATATGTTAGCAGAGCTAAAATTAAAACATTTTCACTATTACATGGAAATCTGTTTTAGCTTGCATTTGTAGCTTTAGCTTAAGTCCGCACAACATAATCCATCGAGTTTTCCTGTGGATTTAGACCAAGTGCTGCAGGTTTAGATTCACAAGTAAAAAAAAAAAACATCTAAAAAATATCCCTTAGAGTTTATAAAGTCTTTTTGCCTAGACAAAATATTGCCTGAACATTTTCACAATCTGCTGTCAAACAGAACTTTTTTTTCTGTCCACTACTTACAAAACCGGCACTCAACACAAAGCAGACAAATGTAGACTACACCTCAGTTTGTAGCTACCTGGAGAAAGAACAAAATTTAATCCTTTCCTACTCTGGACAAATCAGGCTTTAAAAAAAAAACATGTTTGATTTGCTAAAAATAAAGTACATAATAGTTTTTCAGAACACTCTGATATTGAATATAAATTTGTCTTTGGTCCCTTTAAACATCCTTTTTAATCTCCCCGTTTATGCAAATCAGTTGCCATAAACACAACAGAGTATGAAAAACTGAAGCTAAGCTATACATTCTTACTATGATTATGTAACATAGTGTAGCATTTGGACCAATCACACAACTTTTTGTTATATTTAACAAATAATATCTAACTCCCCCTCACTTAACCAAATGGCCAGTTACGAGGGTCTATGGACCCTTCCCCCGAAGTGCACCTAACACCTCAGAAAGGCAGAACAGGCCTCTGGTTACCTCATTCACTATATAACACCCACTCTAACCACATTTCTCGGCCGAGTATTGTTCAGCGATTATCACTCCCCTAGTGATAGCGACACTACAGAGCCCTCGTTTGTTTCCCTGCCTTAACCTTAGCCTTAGCCTTAACCTTAGCCGTTTTTCCGGTTTCTGATCTTCGCCTGGTTCCCTGGATTTCTCCCTTAGTCTTGCCCCTTCTGACTCTGTCTGCCAATCGTCGACCCACGCTAGCCCTAGGACTATTCTTGTGTCCTATTTTTTAATGACATATCAGCATTATATCAACATCTTGGAAAATCCATATCTCCAATCAAAAGCAAGAATGATTTCAAAAATTAGTGATGAGATAAAGAATCCAATAAAAAGAAAAGCAAATCGGTTTGCAGTGTATGTGCATATGTGGTTATTATTATTATTATTAACTGGCCCAGTCACTTATGCCAATAAAACAACAACTAAAACACACACACACAACTGGTAACTCTGCTTATTTATTCTGCAACACTTACAACATAAATGATCGAACAAACACTTCAGAACCCATTCAGGGTAATGCACATGTACTGCATTTGATTGATAGAAGTTTGATAATAAACAGCAACGTAAGTACTGGCACAGACTGAGCACACACAATTCACACAAATATCATTCTTGCCATAATACTTACAAGAATATATGCATGGTACATCATGGGATAATTAATGCTGATGTACTGTAAAAAGGAGTGCCATTATGAATTGAACATATGTTAGCAGAGCTAAAATTAAAACATTTTCACTATTACATGGAAATCTGTTTTAGCTTGCATTTGTAGCTTTAGCTTAAGTCCGCACAACATAATCCATCGAGTTTTCCTGTGGATTTAGACCAAGTGCTGCAGGTTTAGATTCACAAGTAAAAAAAAAAAACATCTAAAAAATATCCCTTAGAGTTTATAAAGTCTTTTTGCCTAGACAAAATATTGCCTGAACATTTTCACAATCTGCTGTCAAACAGAACTTTTTTTTCTGTCCACTACTTACAAAACCGGCACTCAACACAAAGCAGACAAATGTAGACTACACCTCAGTTTGTAGCTACCTGGAGAAAGAACAAAATTTAATCCTTTCCTACTCTGGACAAATCAGGCTTTAAAAAAAAAACATGTTTGATTTGCTAAAAATAAAGTACATAATAGTTTTTCAGAACACTCTGATATTGAATATAAATTTGTCTTTGGTCCCTTTAAACATCCTTTTTAATCTCCCCGTTTATGCAAATCAGTTGCCATAAACACAACAGAGTATGAAAAAATGAAGCTAAGCTATACATTCTTACTATGATTATGTAACATAGGCTGTGTGGACTGGATATACTGTATGTAAAGAATATATGTATATGGTTCCCAATTTTCTATAACTCACATTGCACATGAAGTATAGCACAATAGCCTTTTTGAAATAAGTGTATATGAATTAGATACAAAGAGTTTCTTTGTAGCTTGTCATATGTGTTGAGCAAATTTCTCACAATAACACAACATTGTAGGCATCACAAAATAAATAAAATACATCCTTTTTCATTCACACACACACACACACACACAAAATCAACATATAAATAGTACATGCAGATGACTGAAGACAAAAAAATTCAAGCAACTGCAATTCTAGATCAAGAAAATGTGTTTGGAATAAAGTGATAAAACTGTATGCCTCCAAAAGTGCAAACGCATCCAATTTTAATAAATACAGGTTGTAAATAGACTCCAGTTAAAAATGTACCTACATTTCAACTGTTTGATTTAATAGCTTCAATGAGTTCAAAGACAACATATGGTGCAGCTATGAAAAGTACACTGCAGTTATATTTCTCGCTACTCAAATTTACTAAAGTTTCTTCAAGTTTACTCAGATGTAGTGTTGTTTGGTGAATACTGAAACCAGTATCTGATGATAGATTCCCATTGCATTGTGGGTAGTGGAATCTATGGCACACAGTGTCTTGCTGACAGGATGCACGGACATCGGACGTTTAAACAGAATGAGGTTTATGAGTGTTTTGAGAGCGAGTGCAGTGTTTGTGGATCAGCTTTCTTGTGAAGGTTCAATGCATCCAGATTTAGACAAAAGATGAAGCCAAAACATCTGGCCTACTGATTTTTATCTAGGCCTGATACTCTATGATCTGATATCAGGAGAGTCTCCAAAATTATGTGCTGTTTTACAGTGTGAGGAAGTGGCTTGAAATCTTCTGAGTTAAATGTTTTAAAGCATTGTGTGCATTGTATATTATGGAAATGTGTTGTGGTTATACTACTGTAGCAACATAAAACTGCATTAGCAAAGCATAAGTTTGTGCTTTAGATATATATTAATCAATGCATTAACACAGGTGCATTAAGTTCCACATTTCATTGTGTAACGACTTCAACTAGTTGAAATGTTCAGGGGACTTTAAAGTTTACGTTTTAAAGGATCAGATGAGCGAACAACACCCTGAAAAACAACATAATATGGCACATGTACAATTAAAGCCAATAAACTTTCAGAGAAATAAATAAAAATACAGATTCTGAATATAACAGCATGGATATTGAAGAACATTCACAAAAGGGATTTGCATTACACAGATCACTGTGTACTGCAATAAAAAAGTTAGCAAAGTTAAGCAGGTAATAGCATCACAGAATTATGAGCGTATGCCGAGGCAAACAGTAAATGACAAGGAAAAGAGCTCTATGGAAAAGGCCACTGGAGATCAAAAATGAGCCAGGTCATCACAGGATGATGTCATAAACGCGTCCCACTCGTCCAAGCCACTCACGCACTGCTTGCCGCACTCTGAGGTCAGTCACATGACAGGTCAGCTGACTGATACAGGGGAACACCGCTGGCTGGAGGGCAATGAACGTGGGATCCGACAAGAGCTGGAACTGATTCAGGATTATAAGGACCATGTTGGTCCAGGCCTAGATGGAAAAATGGACAAATACAAGTTCACAAAATAATTCTATAAAGAAATCTGCAATTCCAGAAAAAAAAAATATATATTTTTCATTTAAATTGTGGTTAATTTGCTGAAAGTTCTGTCATTTGACTCTACATTAATTTATTTTTGTGCCACAATGTATTTGTAGCCTGTAATATTGTTTTAATATTAAAATAATGTTTTATTTTCTACACAAAGAAATGTATAAAATAGCACAAATTCAAAATTCAAGCAACATAACATTCCACAAAATCTAAGTGAGAGGTTAGTTTGTGTGTGGGATTGTAAACAGACCTTCTTAAGGAGAACGCCATCAGTGTCATGCAGTGTGTTTTTGGCTTTTAGGTGATTGTTAGGATTTGTTGTGCTACTGTTGTGTTTAAATAAAGTAAAAAGCATTTTCTTTTTTGATCAATTCAGCTATTTTTTTTTTATTATGTAGACCTATTATAGTATTTATTAATATTTTGAATGAGCTTTTATTTTGAAATTCAGTTATAATTTTAAATATTTAGTATGTAATTTTAAAGATTTATTAAGTTTTTATTTTTATCTAAACATTTCTATTTAGCTTCAATATATTATTTCTATTTTAGTCATTTTAAACAATAACCCAACATTCCTGCCCTACACTTTTTCACATTGAAGAAGCTGTTCCATGTGGATATATACTGTACATCACAATTGACCTATCGGTAAGCCCCGCCCCCCTTAGACACTGTTGCGAACTCAGACAAACAAACAGAGTTGCTAGCTGTCTTACAATGACAGCTGTCAGTGTGAAAACCTTGTCCCTATATCTTTTTGATACATTTTGGACACAGAAGGACCACCATTCAAGTGGGACTTAAATATGCCATGGAGGGATATATAAAAGATTCTAAAATAAATATTGTGGGTATTAATTTGGAAGCGAGAGTTTACAGATCACAATGCAAGCGGGAGAAGTCTAATGTTACGTTTCATCACGATCGCAGATAACAACATCCCGGATCAACACTGTTCATGTATCGCAGGTTATGATTAAATTAATTTACATTTAACCAGTTTAATATGAAGAGAGTATGTAGACCTTCGTTTATGTGTTTTTGCCCTACACTGTACAAGACGCGAGAACAGTCCGCTATTTAGGTTAGCATGGACTCACTAACTTTAACGTTAGCTAGCTTTAGCCAGAGATACCTTGCTAAAGCACAAGATGACATTAACGTTCTGCTTGAGCAGATGAAAATTGTAACTTAATGACAACCAGAAAATGAACGTTTTCGTCTTTTTTTGGGATTGGGGGTGAATGCTTTGGGACATTTTGCTCCATTTTGTTTGGGTTTAGGAAATAGAATAAAATAAATTCCATTGCCCATCCTCTCGGGATACCTGGAATCAGTGGTACAAGTATTTTCCATTTTTGAAGCATAAACCCCATAAAAATGATGCGGGCTTCAGATCTTCCAGTGTTTCTCTATGGCGCTGAAACCTACAGATGTCCGAGTTCCACTCCCTGTGCAACGGATACTCGACTGCCATTGGCTCATCTGCGTTCGAGGGGAAGGGCTTACTGATAGGTCAATAGGGAAGTAAAGACAATCGCAACTTCTGTTTCATACTGACTTTAAAGTTAACACTGGTAAATGCATTAATAATGATTTTAAAATGATTCACCCGCATTAACATGTTGACAGCTGTTTTAAAACGTGAGTGGTGCTTGTTCATACTGTACTTTATTTCCTGTCCCGTCTTACCTGTATCTGTGCCTCAGAGTCTCTGAGTGAGATGTTGTGGGAACTTGCTGTGGATCCCGATCGAGGTCTCTTCTCTTGCCGCAGTAGCTCGGGCCCCGCGCTGAAAGAGTGGCGCATGGGCCCCTGCTCTACTAGTTGCTGAGGCCTCTGGGGCCCTGGGGAGTCCGGGCCACGCAGGGTCACTGTCTCGCCCCTCTTATCTCCCGCCTTCACATCTTTGGCAAACGTGGTGTGATTGTGCTGCTGCTTGTGTTTCTTGTACTCGATCATAAGCTTGGTGATGGTCTTGTCGGTGGCGATGGTGTACAGCTTGTTTCCCGCACTCTCCCACCATTCCTTCTTACGCCCCCCGTTCCTCCTGTCTCCTCTCAGCTGGGGTAGGGTTGCACTCAACCCACCAGGGCTGTGGACCTCCTCTGAGGGGGTCTCGTCAAGATGGAGGCGGAAGCTGTCCTCTGAGGGCGTTCCGTGGCCCGACAGGCCCCCGGGAGAAGGCGTAGAGGTCTCCGAATTAAAAAGGGGCAAGAAAAAGAGTGGGTCGGCCCGGTGGGTGGGCTGCTCTCCTGCACTACTCTCCAGGTCCAGGTACATCTGAATATAGTTGTTGCACAAGTCCATGCAGAGATTGTGCAGACGTTTGAGCAGCCATGCCCAGTCCACGCTGCAGGCGTGCTTCTCACGCGCACGTGGAGGACTCACTTGGGCCGTCTCCTCGAAGATATCTTCATCCTCAGAGGAGCACTGCTGTGAAGAATCAGAGCTGCCCTCCTCTTCCTCACTCAGGATCTTTTTGACTTGATCCACAGTGATGTTCTCCTGGTTTGTCAGCATTGCACACAGCAAAGCCTGAACACATATACAGAAAAGCATATTGAGATGATCCATGACGCAGAAAGGCAAATAATTCTATTTCATTTCTAAATTCTTAATTTAACACAAATTACAAAACATAGTTAGGCCACAGTTAAACACATCTAAGGCATGTACATTATTGTTTCTTGAGCAGCAAGTCAGCATATTAGAGTGATTTCTGAAGGATCATGTAACAAGGACGTCTGGAGTAATGATACTAAAAATTCAGCATTTCATTAAAATAGAAAAGTTCATTTAAACTATAAATATATTTTACACTATTACTGTTTTTACTGAATTTATGATCAAACGAATGCAGCCTTGCGGAGCTGAATTTTTCAAAAATTTTAAAAATCTTAATTTAAAACTTGTTCAAAATGTTGAAAATGTATCGTATATGAGGAATTAACACCAACAGTTTCATTTGGAACTATTTTAATTGGCAAAGGCAAAAAACTGGCAATATTGTGTGTAAAATGTACGCTAAAAGTAAACTGCTTATACTCAGTGTTAACTCATTGTTGAACTGCTATATAAAATCAATGTCACACAAGCTGTTGTTTTAAATATCAGCAAGGTAAGCTTTACATGGTTATGACAATGTCTGAAATACTGAATAAGTTTTGTGTTGTTTTATCTCACGTGTGTGTTTTTTTAAAACTCTTGTTTAATATACTATATATTATTGTCTTGCCCTTTGATGAAATGAAGATGAAAGTACATTGAAGTCAGGTCAAGAACAGTATTTTGGATATTAGCATGTAATATGTTGGAAATTATTTTAATCAATTATTCAATTACTTAAAGGTGTGGTAAGTGATATCTGAAAAAAACGGCTGATATTTGAAATCGACACCCAAACAAACACACCCTTCCCTTCACTGCTCCACCCCCAAATTCACAAACACGCAATGCAACACAACGACTAACAGCTGGCGCATCAGACAGCCTGCTCCAGCATGGATTGGATGAATCAGTCCTGTTACTATAGCTAATATTACAACAACAGCATATCTTGGTTCTGTGAAAAAATAGCTAAACTAATGTTACTCACATACTGAGCAGAAAACAAAGAGGCCTCAGCATCTGTTTTCTGATCTCTAACGACTCTTCAGCGCTGGAAAGCTATTCCTAAATTGACATGAGTCCTAGCTAGTAACCCTTCTTCCTCTGGCCTTTTCCTCATTGGTAATGTCTCAGTCATCTCTCTTTCTACAGTCCTTCTACAAATCTCCTGCTTGCTTACTCTCTCTCCTCCCCATCATGAGCGTTAATGCCCCTGTTGCTGATTGGCTACAAGAGTGTTGTGGTGCTCCTCTGATTGGTCCGATCCACTTTGCTTTTTCCCCTATTTACACATCCAGGACTATGTACAAACACAATATATTTTCAGCGCGTACACAGAACAGACAGATAGCAAATATTCACAAATTCGTTTATTTTGGTTTTGATTTCAATTTTCAAGAGAGTTTCTCAGAAAATCTCGTCCTGCATCTCTAACTGATGATTAATTGATCATCTATGATATTTACATCTGAGGTAAGACTGAAAATGTACCTGAAAGTAGATTTCGAAGCTCATGGCAGACTGGCGGTATAAGTTAGCAGCTCCACACACCCCTGACACCTTCATGAGGAGATACTTGAGTCCTGGACGGGTGTCAAATTCCCGCGCTGTGCGGTACGAGTCCAGCAGCAGGTCAAAGATGATGGCCAGGTTCTGCATTGAGATGTAGCGGAGAAAGCTTGCGGGTTTCGGCTCCGACACTGCCGTGGGGATTCTGCCCTGCCCCTCAAGGCTCCCAGAAGCTTTCCCAAACTCCTCTAAGAGGATGTCATACAGGTTCTGCAGGAGCACTTGATGGGACAGTAAACTTACCACCAGAGTCCTGAAGGGAATCCTGCACAGGGACAGAACAGAATATAACAGCACTCTGATCTGTCCAATTTTATTTAAACTGAGTCATTAAGGATAGCACTTTGTTCAGGAACAGCGGTAGCAGAAACATATGCATGCATGTAAGGCCTACAGTATCTGATCATTTATATGATCATCTATATGAACTTTCTATTCCATGCCATACACATTTTGAATCATGATATTTAAAAAAATCTAATTCAACTCAAATCAAAATCAAACAAACAAATGCAGTGTCATGCAGTGCACAACCCGGTTCTGGAGGTAATAGGCCACTTGAAAAATATGAAATATTACATGCAGATTCTGTTTGCAGTGGCCTTACCCAATTTTTCTGTGTCAAGCACAGCATGAAAAAGAGGATAAGAAAACATACAAGCACATGTTACTGTATGATTAAAACAACATTTAAATTTTAATCTTAATTTACCTATTTTATTTTACCTTACATTTTATATTGCAGGTTTTTAAAACTAGTTCTTTAATATCAGGTCTATGGATAAATAGCATTTTATGAATCAGTCACTGAAACCCATATCAATCAACCACTAAACTTTCTTCCGGCCCTGTATCACGTTATAATATATGGAGTATTATTAAAATAATAAATATCAGCAGGCTGAATTTGAATGCACATCATCTCACCTCTTCTGGGCTTGACCATTGGAGTGCTGATCAGCAGGAAGCTCAATAATCAGCACACAGGACTGAGCGTGCTCAAATCCGTCCTTGCTGCTCGGAGTTTTAGGGGAGCACTGTGTATCTAGCATGAAGACCTGAAAGAAGAAAAAAATACATCCGATCACTATAATCAATGAATTCTTCACACAAAGTCTGCAATCTCAAAACTCTGGCCATTTGATAATACCTAGAATATCAAAATCAACTGTGGGCGGCAGATCCTTTTCCTATTTAGCGTCCAAACTCTGGAACAATCTACCTAGCATTGTTCAGGAGGCAGAGACACTCTGTCAGTTTAAATCTAGATTAAAGACCCATCTCTTTAACCTGGAATACACATAATACACTATCGCATTTCTATAACTCAAAACAATTAAATGATTGTTAGGCTGCATTAATTAGATCAACCAGAACCAGGAACACTTCCCATAACACCCGATGTACTCGCTACATCGTAAGAAGAAGGGCATCTACGCTAATATTAGTCTGTTTTATTCTTATTCAGAGGTCACCGTATCCACCCGGATCCAGTCCATATTCAGAACAGATGGTGGATCAGCACCTAGAGACGACCTCTACAGCCCTGAATGTCAGTGGAGACCATGTCAACTAGATGAACCCTAGAGACAGATTCCCTGCGAAGACCTCGAAGGCCATCGGCACAAGACCACAAGAACCAGACGGTTCGACCAAACTTGGTTACATTTTTGCCAAGGAATTAAAAACATAAATTGAGCATTGATTATTGATATCTTGAACATGCCATGGCAAGGCAATACATTTATAGCAAAAAAGGGAAACAGCAAGCCTCTCATACAAGTATACTGTCTGATTTAGATCAAATTGGAGTTGTGTGTTCAGTAATGGGGGCTGATAACATGCATGTGGCAATTGTGGTTCACATTCATAGCGCCACCAACCAGCACCAGGAACTGTGACACATACAGTACAACAGACTTTGAAATAGTCCAAAGAAGTTGTAATTATGAATGAAATTACTGACTGAAGAACTCTTTGACATTGATGATGTTTAATCTATAAAGCGCTTGTCTTGAGATTTCATAGCCATAACTATCCATTTTATACCTATTGCTCTATTTTCTCACAGTATCAATATGTTCTAGCAGCATAAGTTGGTATAAGATGTCTGGGTCAGTGTACAGTTGTAAATGACGTGAGGTGCACAGGTACCTGTTGAGCCATGGCCCGGATCCTCATGTACTCCGCGTCGGCTGAAGGGGAGTGTGAGGGGGCTGCGACTTTCACTTCACACGCGTCTCCAGTGAAATTGTCCGAACCACTCCGGAAACAAGCTAGCAGATTCTACCAGAGGACAGAGAATGTATGTAGAAAACTATAACACACATTTTCTTTTCACACTTTTTAGATGTAAATATAAATCAAAGCTTGCACTGTTTTATATTCACATGTGATACATTAATTCTCTACTTATTAAAACATATGTCATGTTGTACAGAACAGAACAAACTTTTTTTACTATAAGTACTTGCATGAATAAAGCTGTTGCATCTGTCAGCACTCTGTGCTTGACCTACATCAACATTTACACAACAGCAAAAGATCATCAGCAAGCAAGCAGGATTTATGTGTAAGTGAAAGTAAAACTATAAAAGGAAAACCTTTCATTCTGTACACCAGATACTCAACAGTATATGGCACTCTCTAGTCTAGGATATAGCTTAAAGGGGTCATAGGATGCCCATTTTCCACAAGTTGATATGAAGATTAATGAAAAGTCTGTAACATAGTTTGGTTAAAATTACTCAAAGGTAGTGTAAAAAAACACCTTTTTTACCCTGTCAAAAACAGCTTTTTTCAGAGCATGTAGATTTGTAGCATTTTCCTTTAAATGTTTATGAGCTCTGCTGAGAGCCCTCTTCCGAGGCGCTCTCAGAGAGATGGTTTACTTTAGCTGCATTCATCGTGAAACTTGCTAATTAGCACATTATTAGGAAAAACCTTACACTCACTTCTTCTGTAGATGAGGCTGGATCACGAATGATTCGCGCGACCATAGATGCATTTAGGCAGATCGGGGGCGCATTCCCTTCAGAAACAAACATAATCCACTGCATCTTCAGCGGCTCAGATGTCGGGAGTAAATGACGACTGCTATGTTCATTATTACATCCAACAACAGAACACCTCGATCGCTTAGGAGTCATTCTTGTCTACATCTGCTCCAGCGGTGAAACAATGGCGGACTGATGACAGCTCAATCAGGGCGGAGCTAAGGTAAGACACCAGTCCAGTTTGTGCTGAAATGCTACTGTCAATCAAACTATCGTGGGAGGGGCCTGTCTGTGTGATGTCACACAGACAGGCATCTGAGATCGGCTCGATTTGAGAAAGGGGTAAATATTTTAGTAGATTAACAAAAAAACACTGGGTGGATTTTTATCATTATAGGGTGGCTGTGTACACACACTGCCAACATACATTTCAGTTCAAACAACTTGTAAAAGTGCATGTAGCATTATATGACACCTTTAAAAAAAGAATACCTCAATATTTTTCAGCCAACACTCAATGAAAATGTATCTATTTGTTTTGAGAGGGTTTACTTTAGCTGCATTCATCGTGAAACTTGCCAATTAGCACATTATTAGAAAAGGCGATTTGCAAAGATTTGTTAAAAAAACCTTACACTTTGTAGGTGAAGCTGGATCCCAAATGATTCGCGCGAACATAGACGCATTTATGTAGATCGGGGGAGCAACATACATTTCAGTTCAAACAACTTGTAAAAGTGCATGTAGCATTATATGACACCTTTAAAAAAAGAATACCTCAATATTTTTCAGCCAACACTCAATGAAAATGTATCTATTTGTTTTGAGAGTAAAGGTCCTGCACATTGAGTCCGAAATTTTCGTATGGGTTTTTTTTTCTTTTCCGTATTCGTCATCCTTTCCTATCAAAATGCTTGCTATGGATGCGAAAACGCAGAAAATCGAACCTGATCCGAATTTTTTTATGACGGACGAAAGTTTCGGAGGCAGTGTGTAAACGTGATTGACACAACGTGAGGTCGTATTTATTTTTTAACGTGTGTAAATTTCGGATGAAAATTTCGGACTCAGTGTGCAAGGACCTTTAGGCTTAAAATACAATTACCGTATTGACCCAAATATAAGACGATGTTTTTTTCTTGGAAATACATCTGAAAAAACGCGGTCGTCTTATATTCAGGGTCTAGACCAGGGGTGGTGAACGTCGGTCCTGGAGAGCCGCAGCCCTGCAGAGGTTTGCTTCAACCCTAATCAAAACTCACCTGCCTGTAGCTTCCTAGTAACTGTTCAGACCTTGATTAGCTTGTTCAGGTGTGTTTGATTAGGGTTGAAGCAAACCTCTGCAGGGCTGCGGCTCTCCAGGACCGACGTTCACCACCCCTGGTCTAGAGTGTATATTTTTTAAATGTGATTGTTGGTACATTTTACCAGTTTTTACCATACTTTCAAAACAAAAATTAAAATAGAAAAAATATGCAATATGAAAATAATTGAAGACAAAAAGTGTTTTACTGAGAAAAAACAAGATTTGTTTTTTTAAAAGCCTTTTTCCAAAAGGTACATCTGGAAAAAGCGGGGTCGTCTTATAATCAGGGTCGTCTTATATTCGGGCCAATACGTTAGTTTGATCCATTAGCTGAATCATCATTTCAACCACGAAGACACTGCAGCCAGGTGCATTAACAGTGTTTATAACTTGAATGAACTGATTTATAGAAATGAATCAACCCCACTCTTTAGGAGCACTTTTACTATTTCAAATAATTTTTGCGCCATCTCCAGCACCAATCAAAATGCGAAAAACTCAGGCAAACAGCTTTCTGGCACAGTCTTTAAGAAACTTAATTGCCAAATAAAAATGACATTAAAATCCCTGCAATCATGACGGATTAATTTTGTATCAAAAATAATATTAGTATATATTCACGCTATCCTACTAGAGTCTCAATGAAAAAGTCTTCGGTCATAATCACAAGTCATCTTTACACATGTGTATTCATATCCCAGATAGCAGCACCATTTTCCTTCTTTCCATAAAACAGCACAACACTAATCCTTAAAGAAGATTACATTAGTGGAGAAAGCAAAGAACATGTGGCCGCAAAAGTCCTAAGCATGAAGTTTCAATCTATTTTTGTAAACATATTTTTGCATATCATATATATATATAAATATGTGGCAATGAACTTTCCTGTTCAAACTAATGTAGCTGCAATGTGATTTACAAAAGCTTTCCAGAGGCAAGACTTTTATGACAAAAATTGTGTCCCTGACAATTACATTTAATACTATGCCATGACGTAGTATTACATTTAATATATGACACTGTATTACATTTAATATAGTAAAAACAGTAAATATTTTTATAACTTGAAATAACTGTACTCTAGTCTTCAGTCATTTGATCCTTCAGAAATCATTCTAATATGCTGATTTGCTGATTAAGAAACATTCCTTATTATCAATGATGAAAACAGTTGTGCTGTTTCATATTTTTGTGGAAACCGTGATACTATACTTTTTGAAATTGTACCTAGTTTTTAATGGGTGTGTATTGCGGTTTTCACACAACTTCATTTAATTGCGAACTGCTCTGAAACTTTGAGCTTATGCTGTACAACATGCAACAGCACTGAATCTTGACTTTGAACATGCAGGACTCACATTTAATAAAATCATTGCTTTTTGAATTGTAATAATCAATTTAGGATGTATCACGAGACCTGTTTTTCCATCCCCAAATTTAGGACCTTTCAAAATGATAATTAAGATCATTAACACTTTTTACGACCTTAAATTTCATAACACTGAAACCATTCACAAAACCAAACCATGCACACACAATTTCAGCTACATGCATAGAATTAGCGCCCACTTGCATGACAATGACTTTGTGCTGATCCTGGTTACAAAGAACAAAGCTTTTTGTCAAGGCTCATGCAAGATATTTGGACAGTGGAGACACAGCTTCAATAACTGTTATTATGATAGTCACCTTCACAGGCTCCAGGGTAGCCGAGAAAGCGTCCTGCAGGGCACAGCATGCTAACCGCCACATCTCCTCAGTGAAAACAGGCCCTGCTGCTACCAGAACATACCTGGACATCAAACATAACAAATCAGAACTTAATATGTCCACTGCTACTATACTGGAGACATGACAAAACTAAAACTAATCTTATTTTGCAGCATAACTTCAAGCATTTTTTCAATGAACTATCTTGAAAATAACCTGTTAAGCACTTGAGATACATAATGATTGTCACTACTTAACCTGTATTTTTATTCAACTAAACCTCAAGCAGTCAACTGCATTCATGCATCTGAATGTAACATCGTAAGTGACCGATTTAGAGCGCTCTACATCACAAAGACTACACTCCTCACATGGTGCACACGGTAGAGTGTGCTCTGAATTGATTTCAGGAGAGTTTGATGCTATGTAGGCAGCTCAATATGTTTAAACACACACACACACACACCTAATACAGGAGCAGCCCACTCTGGAGATGGTCTCGGCTGGTTCTGCCACACAGGACACCAGCAGTTTGAAGAGATCTTTCAGCATCAGATTAATCAGACTCTCATAGCCAATATCTGCAAAATAAATGAAGTCATACAATTTATATTATTTCATATACATTACAGTTACAGGGGAGTCGTGGCCTAATGGTTAGAACCCAAAGGTTGCTGGTTCGAGTCTCGTACCGGCAGGGATTGTAGGTGGGGGGAGTGAATGTACAGCTCTCTCCCACCTTCAATACCACGACTGAGGTGCTCTTGAGCAAGGCACCAAACCCCCAACTGCTCCCCGGGCACCGCAGCATAAATGGCTGCCCACTGCTCCGGGTGTGTGTTCATGGTGTGTGTGTGTTCACTGCTGTGTGTGTGCACTTTGGATGGGTTAAACGCAGAGCACTGTCACTTTCACTCATTCAGTCACTCACATTACAATTTCACACTTCAAGGTCATCTTCAAGTTAAAACTCCTGAACATATCTGCATTAATTATCATGGCACATATTGTACACATCAGGTATTAGTGGGCTGAATCTCATGAAACCTGTCAAGCTGTCCATATGTGTCCTGAAAAGATAAAAAGGAAGAAATAAACAATGTTTTGTACAATGTTATTTTAGTATTACTGATATACTATTACAGTTTTTGTAAATATTTTTAATCAGATTTTATTTTTATATTTTCTGTTTTCACTTTCATTTTAGTTCAAGTTTTAGTTGTATTTTTCCCCCTTTTCAATTTTTTTATGTCTATATAGTTTTTTTATTGTTATTAGTTTTTTTTACTTATTTTAGTACTTCAAGCTAAACTAAACGAAAAAAAAGATAGCCTTGGAAACTAGCTGAAATAAAAAATAAATAAATAAATAAACCTCCAATTTAAAAAAATATATATTTATTTAAAATTATATATTAATTTATTTTATTTTAAGCAACCAAATGGTTACTATCATTTTAGTTTTAATTTTAGTTGAATGATAATAACCCTGGTTTTGCATGAACCAAATAAAGTCTTTTTTTTTCATTTTCATGGCAATTAAAAATTTTTCCTGTAGCTTCCATTACTGTAATGTGAAAAAATGCATAAAGTAAAATGTAAAGTATTTGTACATAGTAGCATTAGTTGCAATGTCTTTAATTACTGCTGTTTAAAAAAACATTTTTCACAATGCAACGAATATAGGCCAAATTTCAATATGCAAATGATAATTTCATGTTTGTTTTTTATTTTTTTTTATTTTGGGGTGATGATCCAGTCATGTTTTTCGTAAGATTCACGCATATTTTGACTGACTGATTGCTTAGATCAGTAGTTAATGTGCATTGAAATATAAAGATATGTGACCCTGGATCACAAAACCAGTCATAAGGGTTAATTTTTCGAAATTGAGATTTATACATCATCTGAAAGATTAATAAATAAGCATTCCATTGATTTATGGTTTGTTATGATAGGACAACATTTGGCTGAGATACAACTATTTGAAAATCTGGAATCTGAGGGTGCAAAAAAACTATACAAAAAAAAAAAAAAAAATATTCAGAAAATCGCCTTTAAAGTTGTCCATATCTTCTTGGTTCTTAGCAATGCATATTACTAATCAAAAATTAAGTTTTGATATATTTACAGTAGGAAATTTACAAAATATCTTCATGGAACATGATCTTTATTTAATGTCCTAATGATTTTTAGCATAAAAGAAAAATCTATAATTTTGACCCATACAATGTATTTTTGGCTATTGCTACAAATATCCCCTAGCGACTTAAGACTGGTTTTGTGGTCCAGGGTCACATAAATGAACTGAAATGATTAATTTGCTAGTTTTACCTGAATGGATGAAGCTGTGAATATGTTCCACCACCAGTTCACAGGACAGTCCGATGGCATGCTTGAAGTTGGCCGCAGCAATGTCCCAGTATGAGTGGTCACCATGGCTCCGTTGTAGCCATAGTGACATGACAGGAAGAAGAAGCTGGATGACAGAGAAAATGCCAAAGCCAGGCCCTATGGAGGAGGAAGACGCAACATAACAAGCCAGAGCTTTGTGGGTTTGCTTTAGTATCTACAGCAGTGTGATTGTGAGTAGTGCTAATCACAGGCGTCTGACCTGGTATCTTGGTGACTTCACGCAGAAGTTCAAACAGCAGCTCAAGTGTAGGTGGCTGATGCTGCCGAGGACAGTTTGACACGGCTGCGGTCAACTGCTCCAACAGAAGAATCCACACCTGTATCAGACCTGCACACACGCAAAACTGATCACCCCTGTGCACCAGTAATAGTTGTTTTTTCATCTCTAAACTTATTCTCCACCATGTACTTTAACAAATAAATCAATAAATCACCTGTGTCATCGTCAAACTCTGCTAAAACGCAGTCCATGCCATCCTCAGTGCTCACAGACCTCTCCTGAGCTCTCATCGGGAGGCTGGCCAGCCGCGCACCCATGAACACGGGCTTGGACGGCATCTTATAGATTTTGGCAAGCAGCTGCAAATGCAAAATAATACATCATAAACTCCAAACTTAATGTTACTCCTTTCATTTGGAAAATTAGTTTTTTGACCCAAACTCACATTACGAAAACGTCTGAAAGTGTGTAAATCATTTATGGACAGAAATGCGTTGATCTTGCCCACCTGTGAACATTTCCTCAAATAGTCCAGGGCAGGCAGGCACAGATCTGTTGAGCTGTATCCACTGACATGAACACAGTCTCCAATCTCCTTATAGTCCACTTCTCCTACAAACAATCACACAGCAATTATAATTTGTTATTTAGATATAATTATTAATTCTGTGGACCCTTTTCACATTTCTAGGGTTCTCAGAAGCAGAAGTCACTATAGTTGTGTAAACATCTGTTTTGATGAATGAAGGCAACAATAAATATATTTTATATTGTTTAGCTCACCTAAACCTTTCACAAACTTCATTAGGCACATGATGTAGTCAGTGGCCGCGTTGGCAAACACCTGAATGTTGTCTGTATTAATGAAGGCATCAAAGACATCAAACACAGGTGCTTGTGACTTCCCTGCATATGTGAAGAAGAGTGAAAAAAATTAAACGGAAATGCATTTCAGAGTGATATATGGTTGATTTTCCTCATTTGTTATGACAACAAACTTTCAACCCCACACCATACACTTACATTAATTAACACACCTTTAATTAATAACATTTATCCAAAAGAAGTTACATAGCGTAGCGTTTAAGGTCAAATGTGCATTGTGTCATTTATTAAAAAATTAAAATGATTCAATTTTTTCAAAGACTTTCTCAAAAAAGCTTCAAACACTTTACATATCTTCCATTGGTTTGCCACTGGAAACCCTTATTGGCTAAGCTGTGTTTGAAGCTGGTGCAAAACACACACCCATAACCGTCCATTCTATATTATTAAGTTGCTTGAAAATTGTACACCTACAATTACGGCTAATGAACTCTATTACATAGTGGAAGAATTATCTATTCAATTAATATCATAAAAAAAGTAACCATGTATTTGTCAAAGATTTATGTCTTTTTAAATAAATTATCTGTTGTTTTAGTTTAAATATGCTATAGAACTGTTAAATATTTTATATTAAAGAAATATTTTATCAGAATGCTGTTATTGATGCTTATTGCCATGAAAGCAGTAAAATCCCTATATTGCAAGTTTTCATTAATACGTGAGCCATAAACATAATCAGAGAGAGAGAATAAAAAAAATCTTTGCACAAATAACTAACAATACAGTAAATTTCACATACCCATAGAATATTCTCCTATCAGGTAATCCTTCATATCTGTTTTGTTTCCATGTACAGTTCGGAGAGCACTGAACAGCGGCCTCCAGCCAGACTGGATCTGAGCTGAGCACATCTCCACCAGCTCTCCAATGGATGTTATCACCTGTACCACAATGGATAGATACACAAGACACTGCAATTAACTCACTCTAAAGTAAAAATATGTGGCACTGAGACAGGTTTGTTTGAACAAGGCTCTGTTTAAACCATCTTTCAGCTTGGCCGCATGATAAGTGAGGACCTGATCTTGGACGTCTTCGTCACAGAGCTCCAGCTGCATGATGTGCTCAAAAGGCCTGAAGAGAGCTTCATTAAAATGAAAGTGTGGCAGCTCAGCCCAGCTGCTCAGAACCTCCATCAGAACATCATTGATGAAGGACACAGCCTTCTGGGATACATGTCGCTCCTTATGACATGCTGCCTGTGGGAACAAGAAAAACAAATCTGTTACAGTATCGCTATTTTGGTTTCATCGCCTTTAAGGATGTGTTAGCCACATGAGGGGTTTGTCTTATTATACCTCCACCAGGTGGGGTGCCACCACACTCCAGGCTCTCATCATGTGCAGCAGTGCTCTGCTCTTGTTCTTCACAATGCGAAGCATGGCCTCTCCCAGCCGGAAGAGGTGGAGGGCGCTACGCTTGTCCTGGGTCGACTTTGCCTCCCCTTTAATGAAAACCAAATGAGGTGAAGGAAACAAGAAAAAATGGGCTTTAAAACTCCTAAAAAGTCTAAATGTTTCGAATGTGTTGGTGAAATAAGGTGCATAACCTTTAGAAAATGTTGTTCATTGACTTTAGGAGGTCAAACTAAATATTATGTGAATATACTGTGTGCTCAATAGTACTTCAATAATTTAATATTAGTTTTATATGAGACTAGCACTTTGTTTAACCCTGTTACCAAAATTTGGGATTTGTCTGAATAAGGTTCTTTAAAACCCAGATTTCTCTGACTTCATTATTTTCTAACAATAAAAAAAACATAAAAGTAAATAACATTTATAAAATAAGTTAGCCTAAATTATACGACGGCGTTTTAGTTCCACGTTAAAAAAATAAAACATCTAAGATTACGAGATTAAAGTCGTAATATTTCGAGAATAAAGTCGAAATTACGAGAATAAAGTCGAAATATTTCGAGAATAAAGTCGAAATATTACGAGAATAAAGTCGAAATACTACGAGAATAAAGTCGAAATGTTTCGAGAATTTCAAGTTTTCCTTTCTCTTTGGAGTGTTACAAGCTCTTGGTGCATAAAGAAGATCTGTAAAGTTGCAAAGACTAAAGTCTCAAATCCAAAGAGATATTCTTTATAAAAGTTAAGAGTCAACCACGCCTACCTAAAATGGCTCGTTCTAACATGCCCCCACATGTCTACGTCACTATGTGGAAATATTAGCATAATGCCATGTGCACGCAAAGAAAGAAGGCGTGGTTTCAGGAACTTGTGGCCGTTCTTGGCCGTTTTTATGAGGCTTTTTTAATAGTGTTCATATCGATATCGGAATTATATCGTATCGACCGAAATTAAGAAATATATCGTGATATAAATTTTGGCCATATCGTCCAGCCCTAGGTAAGGGGCGTTACATTTCCGACGCGTGCTTGTGGTGTTCGGCCAATCACAATGTACTGGGTCAGCTGGCCAATCAGAGCAGACTGCGCTTGTCAAAGGAGGGGGCTTTGTTGAAAACTACGTGTTTGAGAGAGGCGGGGCATAGAGGACCTACAATAATGTACAGTATTTAAAAAATTATGTGTTTTTTGAACATTAAAGCATCTCAACATATTCTGTTACACCAAATACACAAAATAATGATCTTTAAAATAGCATCATATGACCCCTTTAACATCAGCTCACACACCCCATCGACATTCCTTTGGGGGGCACTGTAGCTCTCTTATTTAACCCTTTTTTAATACACTACAAATATATGTAGGATTATTAGCAGAAATCATACCATGTGTCATACTTGCGGGGACAGTATGCTTGGAAATAATATTTCTTCCATTGCATTCGTTATTTGTAGTGTGCCAGCCACCCAATAGCAATAAGCTTTGTGCTTTTGGTAGGCCTACTTTTAATATAAGTCTCAGCTTTCAAAATCAGTTTTATAGTGAAACACAAATTATGTGTCTTACATTAATGTGTTTTCAAGCTCTTTAATGATAAAATCACTGTATTTATGTGAACCAATTCATTAAATTATACTGTTTTCTTTGTGAAAATTTCAAATTTGTGAAAATTCCCCCACCTACTCCGCAAAAATGTCTGTGTGCGTCCAAACTTTTATTCCTCACATGTAGCCTATTTAATTAATAAAACGTTCTAAAAGTTGAAGTGGGCTCCAACTCGTTAACATAAGTTATATTGTTTTCTTTTCTGAGGTAGCCTGTAGGCTATAACATGTAAGTGACTATTCACAAGCTGTTTTATTCATGGTATAATACATTAAATATTTGGACATAATATTTAACGTCTTCCATTCATTATTTGTAGCACGCCAGCCACCCAGTAATCGCAATAATTTTATGCTTTGTTACTTTTAATATAACTCAGCATTCTAATTCTGTCAGTTTCATCACGAAATACAAATTATAAATGTGTTTTTCCTCTTTATTTCAAGTTTATAGCAAGATATATAAGTGAAGGAACATCAGAAGGCATGAAAAAACAGTATAGCTTAATTTTGTAATGAAAATAATGTCTCATTATTGTAATCGGAAAGACTCACAGATCGCTGTATTCTAGCTTCAGTTTAAGAATGCCGCTTAAATACAGCGAATACAGCGATCTGTCACGCCACATTAAAGAGCGTGAAAAAACACATTATTGTAATATATTGTTTGTATTTTGCTATAAAACTGACAGATTTTGAAAGCTGAGATTTTGGAATATCTCCCGGTGCTCCCAATCTGGTCCATTTGCATGTGCAAAAGGCTAGAATATACTCTCAAAATATTATAACTTTAATCTCGAAACATTTCGACTTTATTCTCATAGTATTTCGACTTTATTCTCATAGTATTTCGACTTTAATCTCGTAAATCTTAGATTTTTAAAAAAATTTTAACGTGGCACTAAAACAAGGTATTTAGTATTTTAGGAAAAAAAGGTATTCTGTCAGTGGAAAGTGTCAATAATTTTTGGGTACCTGGCATGGCTAAGGAATAGTCTCCAATTTCTGTGACCGAATCAAAGAGTTGAGACTGTGAAGCTTTTCTGAGCTGATGCAGGAAACCCACAAGAGCCACTAGGTTGAGTTTATTTACTGCATCCTCGAACAGCCTGCAGGACATACACATCAGCTGCATGTTAAAACATAATAAACAGACATGTGAGAACAACAGTGATGGACAATCGGGTACATACACAATGTGGCACATACTCTAAAATACAATGAATAGCCATGCTAAAACTAACTATAAATACATGCTGCTATTATATCATAAATATAATGATGAGTCTGATTCAACTCTTGCATCTTTCGAGATTACTGGCTGTGAATTACGACATGCAGGGACACGATGTGAGAACTCAGAGAGATTCCCAAATCTCAGTCTATTTTTTGATTGGTTTAAGTTAATGGAGAATATTTTGTGTTTTTCCGTAGGTGCGCAGCCATTCTGAGCTCAAGCACCCACGGGATCGGCGCTATGCTAGAAACATCTGTCAGTAGCCGTTTTAGTCCCATCACTTACATAACAAAGATGAACTGTTCAATGGGAAGAGGTAAACAAATGGTATCTCTATTGGGATTTCCCCTGTATGAGATACTCAACAACATCCTACAGTATATTTCTTAATCCTTCTTTTAAAGGCTTTGTGCAAATTTAAATACAGCTCTGCAAATCACAAGTATCGCACTTGTGGCTGTGTTTCTTAAGATCATGTTCTAATTTTAAGATAACCAAATTGGTCTGTTTCTTACTGAGAGCTGAGAGCCATTACAAAAACACATTACAAACATCTTAAGGACAGGACTGATAGAAATCACATTCAGAAAAGCCCACATACAGTAGCATTGCAATAAAGGCAAAATAATAATATTATGTACACACTGATTTTAACTCCTACATAGAGCACAGAGAGCACTGGATGGACCAAAAATGCCTACCTAATTATGACCTTACTGGTCCCCCTAGTGGCCATTTTACACATAACTCCAGTTAGAAATCAAAGGTTTGAAAGATGTTTGGAGTTTCGTTTGCTAAAAAACTAACGACAAGCAGAACTGCATATTCCACTTTGCTTGAGTTATTCATGTGAAATAATCAATTACTTTTGGGTGGACACAAATTCTGATTACACACGGTCTAAACATTTTAGTCATGACAACCCATAAGACACAAAACGCATTACAATTCAATTCCTAATTAACATTAAGATAAAGCATTCCTCTTAGCTTAAAAAAAACTGATGGAAAAATGAAGATGGGCAGATGCAGACAGTGAAAGATGTATCTTTTTGCATGGTACCTGTCAGCTTGTGTGGAAAGCGTGCAGACGGCTTTGGCGGCACTGGTGCCTGTGAGCAGACTGCCTCCCCGCAGGTCGAATCCTTTACCGTGACTGCTTTCTCTCAAGAGCTCCTGGATGGAAAGTGGCTGGATAACTGGATGGCTGAGGCCCAGTTCCAGCTCTGGACTGGCCTCTCCGCTCAACTCCAGCTGCAGGTCCACTGCCACGGCCTGCTGTGCCTGTGTGATGGCGATGGGAGGCTGGGAGCCGCCGTCACTGAAGTGCGTGTGTTCCAGTGAACTCACATACTCAATCACTCTGAGGAATATCACAACAAACTCAGTGTGGGTATTTGCTTTTGGGAAAAAAAATAAAAATAAATGTCATTTTTAAATTAAAATATGTATAAAAATGTTCAATTTAACACTACTAATGCAAATCAGTAAATAAATATTGAATTTCATTAAATATGTAGAATGTAATTTTATACAACAAATAAAAAGTACGTTTCCAGCTCTACAAATCACAGAGTTGAACTCGCTGTGCCTCTTAAGATCATGGTCTAATTTTAAAATAATTAGTTAATTGTTCGTCCTAGCATTTAGTTAAAAGTAAAACACAACCAACAGCAAAATAGATCATTGATGAGAAGAATTAAATCCACTACTAGTTTTCTTTTAAAGAAAATGTGTATATTTAGAGTCAAATTTCAGCAATCTTGAAACATGAGTAAACATGATGAATTATTTTCATATAGTGACAGTCCTAAAATAATTTAAATAACTTTACTAAAGATTTGAGTGTAAGAGATATAGGGTTGGGTACCGAAACCCGGTGCCAATATGGCACCAGTACCTATGTAACCGGTAGGGCTGTGAATAACCAGCAAAGCCACGATATGATACGTATCACGATAAGGGGCTGCACTGAATTTCACCTCAGCAGAATTTTGTAAAGCTGTTTACTGCATACTATATGGCCATTGTTAACTATTGGCAGAACAGGCACTTGACCTCTGCATTATGAAGGGCTTCCATAACTCTACCACAGTACAATATAGGTAATGGCATATGTTTCATGTTTACATTGTGCACTCCCCACCAGGTACAATATTCTGATTGTTTGCATCTGGTTTTTAAGCCCATAAATAATAATGTACTCATTCTAATAAATTTATATTGTAATGTACTCATTCTAATATATTAAAATCATCTTAATGTAACCCTTGGCTAAAAGTAAAAAAAAAAAAAGACTACGCCACCTAGGTTATTTCTCCACCCAGGAAAATAAAATAAAATAAAAAAAAACACACAAAGAATTAAACCAAAAGGAATTGCAATAATATGAAGGACCCTGCTGGTTTGGATGGGGTTAAAGACCGAGACGTGACTTTCCAAAATAATTTTACAAAAAAAATTACCCTAAAACATTCTAAAATGAACCTCTTAAACAGTTTACCAATTAATTACCCACAGTTAAGAGACTATAATAAATCCAACTTTAACAGACCACAGCAAATCAGTGGACAACAATTCTTAAAGCAAGTGATAAAAAGACAAATCTACTCTCTCCCCTTCTGTTAAACCTCAAAATCACAGCTCGTCAGGTGTTCACATGTGGATATATACACGGTAAAAAAGACACTGGTAAAAACGAAAGAAAAACAAGAAAAAAACAAGATACAAAAACAGCCAAAACACAATAGCTTAGCGCTGCGTTTGACACTATTGACCACAACATTCTTTTGAATAGACTAGAAAACTTTGTTGGCATTAATGGAAGTGCATTAGCATGGTTCAAATCGTACTTGTATGACCGCCATCAATTCGTAGCAGTGAATGAAGAGGTATCATATCGATCACAAGTGCAGTATGGAGTACCTCAAGGCTCAGTACTAGGGCCGTTACTCTTCACGCTTTACATGTTACCCTTGGGAGATATCATCAGGAAACACGGTGTTAGCTTTCACTGTTATGCTGATGATACTCAGCTCTATATTTCTTCTCGGCCCAGCGAAACATACCAATTTGAAAAACTAGCGGAATGCATAGTCGATATTAAAAACTGGATGACGAGTAATTTCTTACTGCTAAATTCTGAAAAAACAGTGTTAATTATAGGACCTAAAAACTCTGCATGTAATAAC